CCTAGAAAACTATGGTTAAAATATTGAAACTCACTACAATACAGTGTGGCATGTATTGATGAGGAGAGGAAAAAAAAAAAAACCCTGGAAATTTAGAACCAAAATACTATGTCCAAGACTGGTCACCAGGTCCCGGGTGGCCCGGCCCCGGCGCTGGTCTCCTTGTGGTGAGGGGCTCAGTCACCGCACACCCAGGGGGTGTTGGAGAAGCAGACACGCTGAGACGCGGGGAGATCTCGGCTAATGGTCATGGAAACACTTACATGAGGCACAACATGTAAATAAAGAGATTTATTGAAGTTAAAAGGCTTGAAAATGAAGTTGCATCCTTAGGTGTGATGTGTGTGGCCTGTGGATGGAAAACATCCAAACCCTGAAATATTGGAAAGAAGTGTATTCTGAGCCACATTAGAGGACCATGGCCCGGAGCCACTCCAGAGAAGCCCTGAGCAAGTGGGCTCGCCGTGGCTGGGTCACAGTTCGGTTTTATACATTTTCAGAGAGACGGGGGTTACAGGTAAAGTCACAAATCAATACATGAGAGGCACACATTGGTTTGGCACCAAAAGGCGGGGCATCTAGAAAGGGGGGGCTTACAGGTTATAGGTGGGTTTAAAGACTCTTTGGCTGGCAAACGGCTGAGAGAGTTGGGCTTTATCTAAAAGATCAGAAAGGAAATGCTTACTTTAAGATCAAGGTGTGAGCACTCTGGGAGGTCCAGACAGGAGAATGTTTCAAGTTTAAGCTAGGCGTTTGCTAGGGTGCTTGAGTTAAGACAGGGGCTTCTTATCTTTCAGGTGATGTTAATGCCATACCAGGATCAGGTTGGGAAGTAAACCACGGCTTCATTTGGTTAACAAAAGCCGCTTAGTGGGAATTTACCACTTGTGAGCCTGACCCAGCTGGCCTCCTTAGGAAGGAGTTTCTCCAGCAAAAGGAAAAGATCAGAGCTCAGTCCTCAGGCCCCGCGGCAGCCTCGGCCCTGCACTCTCCCCTCCGTCTCAGAAAACTAGATCGATGTGTTCTTTTCTTTCTATTTCATCCTTCCTTTGCCACAAAGTACCTGAAGTAATTCATGTGCACCTTCAAAAACTGCAAATGCGTATTACTATTCAAGTGGTTTTAATCCTTGCGGGGCGGGCAAGGGAGCGAGGATGGATTAGAGTCAGGTGCAGGAGCGCATCTGGGTCAGAAAAGCTCCGATGAATCTGACGTCATATCACGAGCGTCCTGTGCAGACTCACGGGTCCCGTGTCCTGCAAAGATGTGGGCGTGTGAGAAGGAAAAAAAAACAGCCACATGTAAGGAGAGTTTGGCAGAAATCTCATCACCTGCTTGATCGGCACCCTCGGGCCAGGAAGTGGCTCCTGGGAAGCCAGGCAGCCTCGGGCGGGACCCGCCACTGCTCTCGCGCCAAACTGCGGCGGGAGCTGACACCCGAGTGCTCCTGACGGTCCATCTCCAGTGCGAAGAGGAGCCCGGAGAACGGCGTCCTGGTTTTCTGTGTCCCGGCAGGGAATCATCACACAGAACTCAGGCACAGGAAGAGCAGCCCCAGTTACAAGAGCGAGTCCGGTCCCCGCGCGGAGGAAGCCTTAGCCGTCACGGCGGTCACCGTTATTAAACCACAGGCTGGCGGGGACAGCGGGGGTCCCCGCCTCCTCCTGCTGACGAATCAGAGGAGCCTTCAGAGGACAATTAATGTGTCTGTGTCCAGTGTCCCCCCCCCCAAAAATTGCAGGCCCGTCACTCATATCCCTCAGGTTCCACTGCAACATCCAACGCGGAGAGGGCCGACTGGGTAAGTAAACGTGCCAAGTGTGAGAGTCCAGTTCGGCTTTCCCCCTTGCAGGGCTGTTTCAAGGGCCCACCCTCCTGAAGGCAGCTCCCCCACCCGCGCGTGGTGTGCGGACACTCTGCCTCCCGCACGCCCCGCCATGGGCTCGAGTGTCACAGGTGCTCCTGGGTCCGGCCCTCCGTGGAGCATTTCCCCTGCAAACTCCCCGCCGGGCAGGACTCTGTCCCAAAGCCTCCGGTACTGCTCTCCAAACGGCCTCTCCTCCCCGTAAACCATTTCCATGCTCAGAGCATTCTCCCGAGACGGGCCATCCTCCCCTCCCTCCACCCACCCTGTTTCTGGACCTCGCTGGAGCGCCCCGGAGGTGCCTCTTCCAAGGATGGGCAGGACAAGGCGGGGCTGCTCCTCCCTGCTCTCTCCCTCGTGCGAACATCTGGAAGCTTCCCTTCTGCTTCCCGGGGGGAGAGAACCCGAGGTTTGGACAGCCGGGCTCCGAGAAACACTGAAATCGAGTCTTTGCAAACGTGCGGGTTCTCCTGACTCTGCCATGTCTATGCGAGAGGGTGCTCTGGAAACATCGACAGGGAAACTCAGGTGTTGGGGGGCAGCTGCGACTGGGTCGGTTGCTCCGGCAACCAGATGGCCCCGCACGGCCCCCCTGAGGGGGGGAGCAGGCTGGGCCGGCCCAGGTGCAGAGGGTGCTGGTTTTCTCACACTCCCCCTTGCAGGTGAGGCTGGGTGAACAGGCTGAGCTGACGGCGGCTGGCTCGTGCACGGGCTCACGGGCTCACGGGCTCACGGGCTCACGGGCTCACGGGCTCACGGGCTCACGGGCTCACGGGCTCACGGGCTCACGGGCTCAGAGCTCAGGGAGTGCGCGTCTCCTCTCACTCGGCTCTCTGTGTGTCCTGTGGAAAGTGCCTTGGTCGTTTCTTTTTACTTGGGTCCGACGGTGGACACTGGTGTCCGCCTGCCCTACACGAACGCCCACGACCCCTCCCATCAGAGAGCCCTCCCTTGGAATCTCTCTATTAATCACTCTGACGTTGGGTGCACCCGTCTCTTCTCCACGGTGCTCTGGGGGAGCTGACCTCATTCCCGGCCCCAGAGGCAGCCTTGGCAGCAGACACCTGTCAGCCTTGGGTGGGGAGAACCGGTGGGGTCACGACCTGAGACTTGACCTTCCAGCGTGGGGTGAAGGTCGCCTGCATTGAATTGTCGGTGGGGACCTTCCCTCCCCACCCAGCACTCCTGTGAAATGAACTCCTTCTGCCTCGGGGGCCTGTGACCAGGAGGGAGCCATCCCCCGGGGTGGGGGGAATCTAAATCACAAAACCCAGGAGGGTGGAGATAAGGAAACCTTGTTACCTAAACGAATAGCAATATTCCTTATTGTTTGTGGTGGTAGGAGTCAGGAACTTTCTGTTACTTGTAGCCAAAGGTATCCTATCTGACACAGATATTTAATATCTTGTGCTTTTGTGTTGCTATTATGAAAGAGATCTGTATTTTTACATCTTAAATTCTAACAGGACATTGCTGCTGTAAATAAAAATTTAGATAAACTGAGGTCAGAAAAAGGCACAAAAATCTTGCACATTGCAGAAAAATATTCATATATGGTGTATATATTTTTAATAAAAAATAATGCTTGAATATGTCTAAAATCAGATTGGATAGAATAGAACACAATATTGGCGGTTGTAGCTAAGCTTGGAGGAGGTGCGGGAGACAGGAGGCTCGGGGAAGAGCTTATTTTGTTATTCATGCGTATGGCACTGGGCTCGGAGAGCTCTGAACAGTGTCTGTAACACAGAAATTATCTAAAATGGGGCTATTTAAAATAATCTTGCTGAGGTGCTCGAGCGGCGAGCCCAGCACCCACCTGCCTGTCGGAGGTTTCTGCGTGACACGCTGACCCCTCACGGGACCCACCGAGAAACCCCGTGGAGACAGTCGTGCTGGGACCCTCGGATTTGGCTGTGCACAAAACGGCTACGGACACTGCCTGCCCGGTCACGGCGCGTCACGGAGCCCTCACACACCCGACAGCTGGACGAGAGATGGATAATGACAGTACGTGCGCATTCGCAGCATGCTTTTCAAAGACGTGGTGGCTGCCTTCAGTGAGCAAGTTCGCAGGCTCAGAGTTACCAACGCTCGGCCGGGACGGGCCCAGCATGGCCGCGTGGCGTCAAACCTCCCCCGTGACGCAGGGCTCCGTTTACCTTCCGTCGTTCCGGGTTCTAGCGGTGCAGGTGGGTTTCCCCGGTGACGGGGTCATCCCGCCGTGCCCGATGGCGAGGGCTGTGATGCGTCTTCCTTCTCCACCCAGACAACACCCGTGCAAGTCTGCGAGCGATTCATTCACCGTCGTCAAGGAGGAGAGAGCAGCCCGGACACCAAAGCTGCTTTGTGTCCTCCCTCTGCCCGGTGAGCTCGAGAGGAAGGGCCACCCCGCGCTCAACCCTTTGCACTCGGATGCCCAGTGTGACTCGACACGGTTAGCAAAAATTATAGAGATTAAAATTACTCTTTGAATGTATCGATAATGTGAAATATAAAAAAAAATCCAAATAAATAAGTTCGTATGAAAAGAAACTCCAGCTTTTTATTCTACTGCCGCGCTTTGTAAAATCTGGGGTATTTAAAAAATTAAAGGTCCTTGCCTGCGAGAGTGGCCACTGCGTTGGTGCTCTGGGGCTTGGACCCTGGCTAGCCAGAAAATAAACCTCCTCTTGTGTGATTGCAAAAAAAAAAAAAAAAAAAAAAAAATTTAACTCCGCGTAGAATAAAGGAATCGAGAAAAAAAGCAAGCGAGCGCAAAGGGTTAAACTACCGCAACCATCCAGGAGACTCACGCCGCGTGTTCACGTGTGCGCTGGCGTTTGGTCTCCCACCAGGAGTTGGAGCGTAACGCCAGCCGAGTCCCTGCTGGACGTGTTCTGGCCCTTCCCTCACCTTCAGCGTAAATACAGGTGCAGACGCAGACGCAGACACCCCGCCTCACCTTCCCCAGCAGCCCCCGTTATCTACGAAGCCCGCGACTCGGGGAAAGTGCATTGGACACGGTGTCGCAGACTGAAAGTGCTCACCCGTGGAGCACGTCATTTTTTCTGACATGAACAGTGGCATGTGCTCTAATTGCCGTGTTCCAGGCCTCCCAGTGAAGCTGGGGGAGGAGCGTGGGTGGCCGGCTTACCCCGGTTCTCCGCACTTCCGTGAACGTGGCTGTCTGGAACGACTTCTCCCACACCGCCAGCTCACTGCCCAGCTCCACGTGGAAAAAGTGGCTCTTCCCGTGGCCGGCCGCCACGCTGAAGCAGTACGGCCCCTGGTCCTCACAGTCAAAGTCCCGAAGCCCCAGATACAAGTTTGCTTGTAGCCAGCAGTCGTCTGCGAGCCGGAGCTGAAAAACAGGGCACGGGTGGAAACCCCATCAGAGTCGGAACGGAGGCTGTTTCCGGACGGTGGGAGCCGACCCCCCCTTTGCCGGGGACCCTAGGGGGCGGGGGGGGGGTCTGACACGTATGTTGCATGTACTAACATTGTATCCTTATCATAAAGTAAGCTGGAGGAAAGAAAACGGTATTGAGAAAATCAGAAAGAAGAGAACACACGATTACAGTACCATACTGTATTTATCGACGCCGTAAGTTTACATCATCTGTTTACAAGAGGACTCGTCTGTCTGAAATGGTGAAACGGCACCTGGACCTGCACCAGGTACCGGACGGCGCGGCTTCACCTGCGACGTCCTCCCTCTGCTGCCGGGAGCACTTGCAGGTCACCAGCGCAGTTCTCGGGGTCCCGCCGTGTCATTCAGGGTGACAGTCTTGCACCAGACCCCTGAGACGTGCGTGAGGGCTGCCGAGATCACTTCTTACTGAAGTCTGTGCTTTCCTGGAAGTAAGTGCTGCTACGTGGAGATGAGCAGTCCCAGGGCGGACGGCCGCGCACGGGGCTTGAGCTCCCCGCGGCAGCAACAGCAGGTGGCTGTGCCGTCACCGCGGCGGGGCGCTGTGTGCACAGCCGACTTTGTGCGCTGTGACTTAACGCTGCCTCTTTGCATTTGCTTATGTTTCTGCCTTCTGAACGCTGCACGTGTGGTCTGGGTCGTGCGTAAGTTTTGACAAATTTTAACTTTTTAGAACAGCTTTGTTTATATTTTATGGTAGCGAATGATAAAACAGACTAGTATCCACATCTATCACATGCATTCATGACACACCTAACTTTAATTTTTTTTTCCAGTATTTCTAGGCTAACTACGTAGTTCATTTGTGAAGTTTTTCAAATTGTTGTAAATTTCCCCGCAACATTTTCCAATATATTTTAAAAAATACACCTATAAGTGAACCAGTGCAGCTCGAGCCCACGTTGTGTAAGGGTCAACTGTATTTTCCTTCCTGTCCCTGGGCATATCTGGGGAGCCAGCTGTGCACCCCCTCGCCCCAGCTCTGACTTTATCTCAGGGCAGTTGAGTTCAACCCCCCTCCCCTACTGTAACGTGCTTGAATAAAGTCTTCTGGGCCTGTTTAACTTTAACCAGTGCAGTTGTCGCCCTGCCTTGACTTTAGGAAAAGCAATTAGGGATTCTAACTCCCAGCAGGGTAATTATGCAATTGACCACTTGGAGAACTGAGGCAGCCACAGGGCCGGTGGATACCGGGAGAGACTCACGGGTCACCGCTGCTTCTAACAAGGGAAAGGGAGCAGGATTCGAGGTGAGCAAACCTCGGTCCCACCCCGGCCTCCGGTGAGGCTTCTGGAAATTGCTCTCCCATCTGTGTTTCCGACAGAGGATTAACTCAGGGACGTCATGAAGGGCTTGGCTCCAAGCCTACGGTGGAGACACTCGGTAAAAGACCGATTCCGTCACCGAGACCCTCTGTCAGACACAGGAGCAAATTTAGTTTCCCTGAACAGGTTAAGTAGAATATTCTTATGTTGAGAGGACATGTCCCTTCACTCCCACGCAGGACGGTGCTGTCCTGCAACGGTGCACGTCCCACAGTCCACCCGGCGCTGTTTGCCGCGTGCCCCATGGCTGCAACCAAGGCTGATTGGTGCAGCTTCCTCACTTATTTCGTGATGAGTATTGAAGTACTGAATACATAATTTCAAGAGTTAGGAAAAATAACTTTTAGAGAGGAGAATGTATCATAAAAAACAAAATTGCAACTTCAAAATTTGATTTCTGGTCTAAATATGAATGAATATACTTTGAAATGGTAATTATGAAAACAAACTTAAAAAATATATACTAAAAGGTGCTAGTTTTTGTGATAATTACCTATTTATTACAATTTTTGAAAGATGAATTAAATGCATATAGATGCTTTTAATTGCATGTGTGCTAAGTGATCTTCAACAATTAAAGCTGTCATGAAAAAAAAAGAGATTGTTCTGTAAGGTCACTATTTAAAGACTTTAGGACATTCATCTCACAAAATTTGATCTTCTTTTTAAAAATATTGAATGCTAGAGATTTATTATTATTTTTCACCCTATTTTGAGTTTATTTGTTGTAGCCATTCTCCTGGCTAATCCCACAATTGCATAATCATGGAATATTTATTATTTTTTCTAATCTTTGTTGAAAAATGAGCTGCATAAAAAAGAGTTGGCCCTGCAGTTTCTCAACGAACGAAGTATCTGAAATGCGATGACTCTTCCGAGTCACACCAACACCAGGAGAACGTGGAGGATGTGGAAAGCGTGGCCACGTGGTTGCGGTGGGAGAAGGCTGGGCGTGCAGGACAGAGGAGGGGCTGCCAGAGCTACGCCACTCTCCCGTGGGATTTTGATAAATGACACTCTACACATACAGACAACCACGAGACTCACTTTCAAATATGCTCATTTTTTTATCATTTTGAAAATAATGCACTCGTGTTATAGGGAATTTAGAAAACATGGAAGAATTTGGAAAAGGAAAGCAAAAATAATCAGCAAAGCCATCACCCAGAGTTAGCCACAGTTACTATTTTACTCTGCCCTCTTCCAGTATGTTCTTGATGAATGTGCCTAGCACAGTAGTGTCTGTTTTATGATCATTAAATGATTTTATTTTTTACTACTGTTCATGACAACTTGTAATGAAGGGCCTGGATCTGAACTCACTGGGCCTTTCTAACACTTTCAGTAACAAAGTCAACAAAAATTAAAACATCAAGAAACATGTGGCCAAATGAACTTTTCAGAAATTGGAAGTAAATTTATTATTTATCCTTTTGATGTTATTGTGGGGATGCCTTTCTCCTGTAGGTAGTTCTGCTAGAGGCTGCCTAGAATTCCAGATACAGATTTAAAATAAATCAACTAGAATTAGGATGAGAGAATTATTTTTGAGGATACTTTTAGTTTCAAGGAAACAAACCAAACATTAAAACATAGATATTCATTCAAAACTTCTAACTTTTAAGTGGTAACTCTTTAAGGTCAAATTTTCAGACAAAAAAAAATTGCATTTTTTAAACTTTCACTTTGTATGCACAGTTTCCTACTTTTTGCATACGCTTACATGAAAAAGACAAAAAGTAGTTTATTATATGGTACGTTGCTCTCCTACAGTAGAAAATAGTGATAACCAATAACAGCAAACATTTCTCATCTTCCAGCGTAGCTACACCTCCAAGGCCAGGCAGGCAGGAGCAGGTGTGTGATGTAGTGTGTTTTTCTGTTTCCCTTTCTCAGGGTTATTAGTAAGTAGCTCATCTTCTTCTTCAATTTAAAATGAGATTTTTTTTTGGTACATTTAGAAATTCCATCATATTCCTGTTTTTTAATTCATTAATTCCTCTGAATTTATATACAAGTATTTTTCATGTGTGAATTTGATCCTTTTGCAATTTGTTGAATTTAACTTTTAATTATTAAATAATCACTTGTGATACACATGTGAGGCTATCATCTCCAATATTTTTGTTATCTTTTTTCTAGATAAATTTAATTTCGGTGTGATACCTTCTTTAACCCAATTGTTTAAGAGTATTTTAAACTTTCTGGGAAATAAATCTTATTTTGCTAGGATAATGTCTTTGCCAGATTATTAAAATGAAATATCTTAAATGCTTCATACTCCTACCCGAGCGACATAATTAACTGAGGTATTACAAATGTGAATTTGAACAGTAAGAACCTTTCAGGTTTGCAGGCTGCACCAAAGGGGCTGTCATGCAACAAAAGCTGACACTTGTGATGAGAACAGATAGTCTGTGTTGAATGTGGTCTGAAAGTCAGGTGCGGAGATCACGGTCTCTGTGCCGTGCTACCTGTCCAGGTGTTTTGGGCAGGTGCTTCCGTTTGGAACAGGTGTCAGGTAAACGCTTCCTCCAGCGCTTCTTGAGCCTTGGCCTGGGCAGTGGCTTTTGCTTCTGAGTCCTGAGAGCACCTGGCACGAGCAGGCTCCGAGTCCCCGCTGTCGGCCGGGTCAGAGGCGGGATGGGGGGATGCCTCCCCTCTGCCAGCGCTGGCTGGCTGACCCCCAACACGGACGGCCATGGCGGAGCAGGTGTCCCCAAAGCAGTCCTCAGTGTCCCGCCTGCTCTGTTCCTGCATGGCCACTTCCTCCTCTGTCCTCCTGTGGGGCTCAGCCCAGTGACCTGCGTGTGACAGGCAGGACGCAGCAAGAGTGACGGTCACTTTGCTGGGACAGACCCTCTCTCCAGCCATGGCCGCAGCTGGATGCCACCAACACCCACAGCCCTGAGCTTGGACGCAGACCCTCCCTGGAAGGGCGTGTGGCTGGGACAGCAGACACTGGGCCGGAACCCTGGCTGCCACCTGGAGACTGGAGTCCGTGAGCCCAGGCTGGAGCTGTGGATCACGTGTGTCGTTCCAGCCCCTCCAGGTTTAGGGACTTGTTTGTCGGCAGCGGATCACGGAGCAGAGACGAAAGCTCTGTGTCTCCCTCAGACTGTCAGTTTTAGTAAAGGAGCTAATAACTGAACAGAAGCATTTCAACTACTGCAGGAAGGAAGATGTCGAGGTAGCATTTAAAAATGAAACAAATGAAGAAGGAGTAACTAAGACAAATGTCATCGTCATTACTGCATTGCTACAGCAAACACACACTTCTCATGATTTTGTTAATGGTGTTAATACAACAACTCCTCTGATCAATAGGCTGTATCTCCTTAATATTGAAGGATTCTAGGGACTTTGTCAGGCAATAACATACACCCTATTTACAAGGCACTGTTCTACAACAGACTGCATGGTATTAACCGCAGTTCTCAGATTTAGTTACATAGTGACATTGCCAGGAAAGTTTAAAAGAATCAATGTGGATGTCTCCGCCACAACTCAGACCAAATAAAATCAAACCCTTTTGCATCAACACCCCCCCCCCAGGTGGGTCTAAAGTCAGACAAGTCTGAGAATCACTGGCCAGGGACGCCCTGGACCTGAGGCTCTGAACAGAGGGTCGGCACCCAGGGACCACGGCAACGGTGCAGAAAGCCTGCATCTAGTGAGCGCGCTTTGTGGCAACAGCTGGGGGTCATCCCATTTAATTAGCAGAACCCCTGCCAATAGCATCATGAAATACAGCATAAAATGAGCTATTGCTATCCCCACTTTACAGACGAGAAGACTGAGCCTCACAGAAACCATGTGCACTTTCCAGTGACGGAGGCAGGGTTTGACCTCCGTCCACCCTGGCGCACACGTGGTCAGCCAGTTCTGCTGGCTTTCCCTGCCTCTCAGTGGACACGGCATCTCCGTGGTGCTTTGCAGCAAGCCTGGGACCGCTGCTCTTGCACTTGTGGCCAGGGCGCTCGGCTATGGGGGTTGGGGCATGGCTCTACCCGCTCCGGGGTCTCTCACCCTCCCCAGCCTGGTGGTCTCAAGGCTGTGCTGTCCTCACGGCAGCAGTGGGATGACAGGGACCAGACCTCATCACACACAGGCCTCACGCCTCGACTCATGTCACAGCTGTGGACATGCACAGGCCATAAAGCCCCAGGTCAGCCTGACAATGAAGGGGGTACCCTGCTCCGGAGGGGTGGGGGCAGTGGACACTGTGCAAACTACAACCTTAGGTCACTTAGTGACAATGGGTGATTTTTGTCTCTCTCCCACACCCTTGCACGTTCAACACTCCAAATTCTTTGCATAATTTTGTGTTGCAAAGAATTTTCTGCAAAACCTGAGGTCTGCTAAGACTCTTAATCATTTAACTATATTTCCTAAGTTTGTTCAATTAAGTGGAATCCGCGTTTACACATGCAGTTATCTTTATCTCGAATATGTCAACAGGTGCAACAGGAACTAAGCAGAGGCTACACGGTGTGCTCCATGGCTGAACCCTCCTTCCTCTGACACGCAGAGTCCTTGTTAAGTGGCGTGCACAGCACAGGACGATGTGTGACCCCACTGGAAACAGTGAAAACTGATTTCATGACAATGGATTAACTGCTTTGGAAGTGACCGACCCAATTGGATTATTCTGAAGGCTCGTTATGACTGTTCTGGATACGACTTTGCCCTTTATTAGTCAGCAAGCACTTTCCCTCTAATGGGAGTGGAATTATTAAATACTCTATTACTTATTCTTGACAGACCAGGCCAGGCTTAAATAAGAAAAGGTTTCAGGACACAAATTTGAATCTGATTTGTTAAAAAATGACCTCAACAATTACAGCAGCAGCAGCAGCGGCAAAAACTAAAGTTTCTGGAATGTATTATTATGATGGGAAGTACTAACACACACACACACCTTCTAATCATCTGCTCACCTGAGCAACAGGAGACAACCATGATGACCTTATTGGACAGGAGGTTGGATGGGTCTAGACGATGTTCACATTATTTTATTATTCCAATGGCATACGGTGAACAAATAATTCTCCCACTCTTTAAAACCAAAGGGACAAAGAGACATGTTATTTGCATGGAAGCTTCTGGAGTGCAGAGGACACCTACCTTGTGGACTTTACATAACACCTCACAGAGGTAATAGATCTGGTCCGCTCGCGCCCAGTCCCATGTGCTCACCTGCAAGAGACGAAATGTGCACATGAAGAGGAACATGCTCCCTATAGCAGAAAGTCTGAGCATTTACAACAGTGCATGACTCAGTGCGTCTCCAAGTAGTTAAGTATGGAACCAGAGAAGACCCCATATAGCAAAAGCAACCTTAAGCAAAAAGAACAAATTGAGAGGCATCAATTTACCAGACTTCAAGCTACACTTCAAGGCTATAGTAACTAAAACAGCATGGTACTGGCACAAGAACAGGGACATAGACCAATGGAACAAAACTGAGAACCCAGATATAAAACCATCTCCATCTAGCCATCCGATCTTTGATAAAGCAAACAACAACATACACTGGGGAAAAGAATCTGTATTCAATAAATGGTGCTGGGAAAATTGGGTAGCCACATGTAGAAGACTAAAACAGGATCTGCACCTCTCACCTCTCACAAAAATCAACTCACAGTGAGTAACAGACTTAAACCTGATGCCTGAATCGCCCAGAGGGGCCCAGAAATCTGCACATTTAGCAGGTGACACCAGCCACACCCAGGTCTGGTGCAAACACCCTGGGCATGCCCTGCCTCAGAGGAGCAGCACTCAAGAGACTTTCAATTCAGTCACTGCATCACGGACTGTGCAAACCTTCAAGTCTGAGCTGCACATTTATCTTCACACACACATACACACACACACACACACACAAACACACGCACACATGCACATTCACTGTCATGTGTCGAATAAGGCTTGTTAGGTGATTTTGTCATTGTATACTCAACATAGAGTGCATTACACAAACCTACATGGCATGCATGTGTTATTCGTATGTATTTTTCATGTGGAAAACCAAACGCCCAGCGCTCTTCCTGAGCATCTCTACCTGTTCTGCCAACATCCAGTGCCCAGGTCAGGTCTGTGCTTGCTCCATTGTCATCTGATGGAACCACCGTCTTACACATAGTTGGTCATTGACCAAAATGCCATTACTCAGTAAGTGCATGGCTTTATACACATATGCACACACAGATGTATGCATATGGAAACGGAGAGACAGTTTTTGCTAATGTTCTGAACATTAAGCTCAATTTAACCTATTGTTTTCCTACTTACCTTTTTTATAGCAGCCATTCTCCTATTTGAACCTAACCAATCATGGGTGCTTATCGTGGGTAGCTTGGAAATGGTTTTATCTTAAATAACCCCTACCTGTGAGATTGTTGTGTTCAGTGTTGAAATGCTATAGCCAGTTTCTAGAGCGATAACTAATGAAATACGAAGTGAAAACGGCCCTGAAGAACATAATGGATTTTTTGGTGTGGAAAGCAATATGGAGATACCTTAAAGAGATACAGGTAGATCTACCATTTGATCCAGCAATCCCACTACTGGGCATTTACCCAAAAGAACAAAAGACATTCTATAAAAAAAGACATCTGCACTCAAATATTTATAGCAGCACAGTTCACAATTGCAAAGATGTGGAAACAACCCAAGTGCCCATCAATTCATGAGTGGATTAATAAAATGTGGTTTATGTATACCATGGAGTTCTTTCTACTCAGCTATAAGAAACAATGGTGATTTAGCACCTCTTGTATTTTCCTGGATAGAGCTCGAACCCATTCTACTAAGTGAAGTATTCCAAGAGTGGAAAAACAAGCACCACATGGACTCACCATCAAACTGGTATTAACTGATCGACACTTAAGTGCACATATAGTAGTAACATTTGTCGGGTGTCAGGTGGGTGGGAGAGGGTGGAATGGAGGGGCATATTCACACCTAATGCTATAGTGAACACTGTCTGGGGGTTGGGCACACTTGTAGCTCTGATCTGGGTGGTGCAAAGGCAATATATGTAACCAAAGTGTTTGTGCCCCCATAATACTCTGAAGTTAAAAAATAAAGAAACAACCATACTTTGTGATATGAAGGAAAAGACAGTTGGCTCTGTAACCACATCTCACCAACAATTATTTCCAATATTGACAGTAGATAACTCTCTAATTTGTTTGACCATTTTTGGCTTGAAAGACAGAAGGTATTTTAGATTATAAGATGTAATATCTTGGCATCTTTCAAAATTATTGTGAAACAGTGAATATCTAGCCCCGAAGTGACACAGAGTAATTCCGCATTAGATACACAACTGTCTAATATTTCTTCAGTCTACAAATGCTCATTTCAATTATTTGTTTCCATGTAACTTTTTAAAATGATAGACTATATCAACTTAACTGATGTTCTTAAAATTGATGCTAATGTTTTTTGCATATGCACAGGCAACTGCTATATAATTTATGTGTCAGTGCTATGTAATGCTGTGAAATTGATTTTATAACTGCCATTTTAACACATTTTAATGATGTTTGAAAACATGAGTAACAGCAACATCACCTTTCAGATTCCAATTTTCAGAACAGAAACAAATATTCTGACTCATGAAGGAGAGTGGAGCATAGGAGGGGGTCTGAGAGTCCTGCTCTTACCCCAACTCTCCCAGCATCTCCCAGGCCCGGGGAAGACCTGGTTAAAGAACCCCAAGGGGAGCCCCACAGGGAGCCCAGGGTGAGGCAGGGCGCTGGGCCGGGCAGCGTAACCCGCTCCCCCACGTCTCCCTCTGCCCTCCCCAACCCACGCAGTCTCTCCCTCTTCCCTTCGACGCCTCTGAAATCCATCCAAGCATCCAGACAGACAGCCACGGCACGGACTCCATGAATGCTTCCCACGTGTGTGCGGGGTGGGCTCTGGGCACGGACAGGGGCGTGGAGTCATGGCTGCACGTGCGGCCACCGAGCCACGGGAGTCGGCCACAGAGACTTTCCAGGGACCCTGTCTGTGTCCCAGGGTGCCGTGGCCAGAGACCTGCGCCCTCCCCAGGACCGGCCTCGGCTGTCGGTCAGTCTCCCTCCCTCGGATGGGGCAGGTGCGGCAAGTCCCGAGCTCACCCAGGGCAGAAGCCGCCCGTGGCCGCCGCCCCGGAGCCCGGCGGGAGAGGCTGTGGGTGCCCGCGTCTGTCTCTGATCCCAGAGCCTCACGTTTCTTGTCAGGATAAAACAAATTAAAAACACAGACATTAAAGACTTCAGGGTTGATAGGGTTGCTTTAGATTTAAGCAAAGTAAAAACGATATTGGCAAGTCGTTCCCTGCCCCGGGCGATACAACGCCTGGCCAGAAAAGCGTCCGAAAGTACCGAGGTGCAAATTCACCAGCCACACGATCGAGCCGACTGCCGGGTAAAGCGTGTCCCTGCCTGGGCCGAAGCCCCGCGGCCAGTGAGCAGGAACATCCGGCTTAGATCCTGCAGCCTCCAGCTGTTAATAACGACCAACTCTTGCGTTTCAAAGCAGCGTGACAATGTCACATACTGTAAATTTGAAATTTCCCATTAACAAGTTCCCCGGGCTACTCACTGTCCTCCAAATTTCTGTTTAACACCAAGCCTGCCTGCCCCAAAGCGCATTACACGGGAATTATTCCCGCGTGTTTGCCTTTGGAAACAGACTTGTGCTGACACATGCATCTGGCATCAAAAACCACGAAAATCCCGCCCTCACTCTCGGAAATGTGTGTCTGACACTTTCCTGACCTCCAGCTCTCACCTGCACCTGCTAACACGGTGTGTTCTCTAAGGTTCCCACGTCACACGATTTTAATAGGGAACTATTTACATACTTTTTTCTTCATCAAATTAAAATAGCAATGGAAACAGCTGTCATTCCTACCTTTAATGACGTGCACTCATGAAAATCTTTCTGAACATCTGGGAGCTGCTGGGTCAACACCACAGGCTCCCGGCTGGGGACATGCCTGGCCCCGAGGCCGCCCGGCCAGCCTGGCGGGTTCGTGGTCCAGACAGTGAGCTCGGGTGGCCTCCTGCACAGTAACTCACCTGCCTTTCCTATAAACTGCAAAGTGTGAACCACTCTGAAGTGGCCTGTCTTCTGCCGTCTTTTGGAATTTGCTCAAAGTTGGTTTGAAAGTTTAAACCAGAAAACGCTTTTGAGATTCGCTGTCTTATTCCCCAGCTCAAAAAAATCTACAGGGTGGCTTTTCCCTTGTGTCCTCTTTTAGGAGGGTTTGGTGACATTTCCAAAACACCTAGCACAGCCACAGAGCACGAGTATGCACCAAGGTTTTATCGATGGTCCACCAGTGCCCAGGGGCACCTTCCCAGGGCCAGGTGTGCGGCAGGTGTGGTGAGCAGGGAACACAACACAAAAAGCTCCCAGATAAGTGGAAAATAAACTGCATTTTTAACATTTTATCAATAGAGGGAGCCTCACATAAATCATCTTATTTTAATCTCACCACCACCCTCCCAAGTAGGCATTTACAGCAATTCATTCTCATTGTATAGGTGGTACTCAGTAGTAGCAGTTTAGGTCACCAGAAATTTAAAGTTATATGGCGACATTAGGGAGCACACAAATGAAACAGGTGATTCCAGGTAACTGCTAGACTGAACAGTCACGAATCCCACCACCTGCACCTTCCATCTCTCTTGTGCTGCTGGTGCCCATACCACTGGGAAATGGACATTGCCCAGAGCCAGGAAAGGGGCGGCTTCCTCAGCTGTGGTCACCCGGGGCCGTAAGATGCACGTGGCTCACGTGGGCTCACGGCCGCAGCGACCGTCTGTGCACTGACGCCACCCACAGTCACTGCCAGCAGCTCTCCCCTGAGCTGGAGACCGACGGCCACAGCTGCTCAGACAGACATTTCGACTTACAAAGTTGCGACTGTCCCCCGTACTGTCCTCCCACCAGCCCCGTCTCAGGGAATGGCAGCGACACGGACCCTGCTGGAATCACGCCTCCCGAGTCCACGCCAGCCCAGGAGCACGGAGCAGTCTGTGTGTGTGTGTGTGCTCGCGTGTGCGTCTGCGTGTCTCTGCATGTGTGTGTGTGTGTTGAGTGCACATCTAAATATGCTTCCTAACCACCACTGTATTCGAAGGCTTTATAGACTGTGAGGTCTATAGCAATATGGTGAACAATTTTATATTTACACTAAAAAATTCAAATTATGAAACTACATGCTTACTTGAGGATAATAAAATGTTCATATTTCAGAGAACTGAGCAGCTACATTATCAACAATTTTTTTATTTGGAGACAGAGCCTCCCTCTGTCACCCAGGCTGGAGTGCAGTGGCATCATCATAGCTCACAACAGCCTCAAACTCCTGGGCTCAAGCAATCCTCCTGCCTCAGCCTCCTGAGTAGCTGTGATTACAGGTATGCGCCACCATACCTAGCTAATTTTTCTCTATTTTTAGTTGCCTGCCTGGCTAATGTATTTTTCTGTGTTTAGCAGAGACAGGGTCTTGCTCTTGCTCAGGCTGGTCTCAAACTCCTGGGCTCACAGATCCTCCTGCCTCAGCCTCGCTGAGTGCTAGGATTACAGGTGTGAGCCACCGCACCCGGCCAACAATTTATGATGGATGCATAGAATTTGGACTCGATGCGGGGAGGGGTCCTCCCCTAGGCTGGCTGACGTGCCAACAGCTCAGCATTCTGACTGTGAGTGGGCGACTTCCAGTTCTGTCGGGAACTACAGAAATGTGACCTGTGCTTCATGGGTCCTACCTGCCTGTGTTGACCCCTGTCGGGCCTCGCCTTCCCCCAGCTCTGGGCCTCGGTCCCGCCTCCCCTCCTGGGACTGAGTCCTGCTCCAAGACCCCAGCGACGGGGCTCTTTCCCGTGCAAACGCCGCACAGTGGTACCCATGTGAGCGGCACCGTGGTATTGTGCTGTGGCGAGATTCACCTCATTTCAACACAAGGGAGCGTGTTTACTAATGAATTGGGAAACCGAGTCCATAACCACAGCGGGGCATTGCAAACACAGGTGAGAAGAGGCAGAAGCGCAACTTAAACCTTAGATCCAGAAACACTGGGGTTTCTTTGAGCGGATGATTTCGAACTCGGAGGTGGACGGGGTCTCACAGTTCACAACTAAACAAGCAGGCGGGGGCAGTGGAGGAAAGTCGTTCGGCTGTACTGGCCGCACTTGCAGGTAGCGGGGCAAACTCAGGGCAGAAGCTGGGCGTGAGTGCGGGAGGAGGGACCAGAGCAAACGCCCGGCTTGGGGACCTGGAGCCGCTCCCACGGCACGCATTGGGAGAGGGGGTCTGGGCAGGTGATCCCAGACCCTGCGAATGGCCTTACTCACCCTGGCCCAGAGACACCTGCGGCAGGTGCAGCGCCGGACAGCGAATTTCTAGTTCCGTCCAGCCTGGCCAGCGCGGGGTAACCCCTGAGGTTCTCCGGGCCCTTCCGGCTGCTTTCTCGCCGGAATGAAAGTGCTGGCCGCTCACAGCCGGGGGCGGGACACACACCCATCCGTGCAGGTTCCAAGTGCATTTAAAGAATACTCTGGACTACCAGTACAGTTAGTGCAATCCATCATCTCTTAGGGGAGGGTTTAGCATAAAATTGTCAAAAATAACCCTCAGCTGAGTAAATCCATTTACTGTTTTACTTACGCACAGCCTTCCTTTGTAAAAGCAAGACTCGAACGAGAAAACAGACTTGTGGATGTGGCTGCTCAGTGAGTCACTGAAATGAAAATGCCTGCTTCCATCTCCTCTTATTTATGTTACAATAAGGCTCAGTAATAAGACAGTTTCCATGGCAACACGGGGGGGCCCTGAGACCCGTGCACCCGGCACCCACCCGTACACGAGCATCCTCTGCACGCCTCCCTTCACTGTGCCGAGACTCCAATGGTAGAACGCACAGGAACGGGCTACGAGTTGCAAAGGAGTTTACAGACGCGGGCAATTTCAGGGGCCACGCTGTCTCCGTGACGCTGGTTGACCCTGCGCGGCTGAGTGTGGGGAACGCCGCAGGCTGTGCACAGCCCGGGGTGTCAGGGTGTCGGGAGATAACTCCTGAGAAGCCCCACAGGAAAGAAACCCTCCTGGCTGATCTCAACCCGTGTTTCAGCAGTTACCGACTTGTGGACGGCTGGCCGGGGTTCTCGGAATCCCGGGGTCCCGCGGGCGGCCGTCTGGCAAACACAGCTCCAGGCCGAGCTGTCAGCATCCACGGCAGGGACACCCACACCCAGCCCTCCCTGCCCGCCCACACCGGGGCGACTGGCCCAGGCCGGGCACGCGAGGCCGGGGCCACCCGCCATTCGGGGTCTTCTGATGCCTATGGGATCGCCCGGCCTGAGCAGTTTAGCTCTGCGGAAAAGCAGAACCAGCTCAGCCTCTGGGACGTTCATCTCTGGGACTTATGTTTGAAAATATGGAGCGAATTAGCAACGAGTGTTAAAGTGCATCACTGCATTCATTTTGAGGAGAATTCCATCATTATTTATGCAAATACTTAGATGCAGTAAATGTATAGTGTTGGTTTATTAATAAACGTGCAAGTAAATGCAATGTGGTGTCTAATGTTAGTTACATCTTGGGGCAGAAAAAGTACATTCGGGGAGAAAGTGGTAAAGTTTGAATGGAGTGTGTGGCTAACTTTTTAGCTTTAACTCATGGATCTGTGAGCCGGGCACGTTAGGCAAATCTGGGTGAAGGGTATCTAAGACTTCCCTGCACTCACGGGCAACTTTTCTGTAAATCTAAGATTTTTTCCAAATAAAAAGCTTACTTAAAAAAATCTATCCTTATCAATGAAAACATGCAGTATGTTATTGTCATGGTTGTGTCCTTTTGTTTATTAATACTTTCACTGGAATAAATTCCCAACAACACCGTACGTAACTTGTTTCCAGAATGTTTAGGCACCTGAGTCTGTTAACAACAGGTGCCTGTGGTTTGCTTGCAGTTCTGATGGTCGAACTCCCAGAACATAAAATTGCTTTAATTGGTAAACTTCTGGGCAGATTGCTCAAGTTACATTTGCTCATGTGGGGAGAACCGTGTGGGTGGGAGTTGGAAAATAACATTCAGAACCAGAGCACTCAGCGTTATGTTTGTATTATGGGCCCCACTAAAGCAGGCCATTTGCTTGTTTTAATAAAATGTGGGAGATATAAGGGAAGGAACGGATTTTTAAATTTTTCATTATTTGTCCATTAAGTTAGAAACGTCTGAAGAGAAGAGCTGTATTTTTTTTATTTATTACTCTTTAACCATGAAGACGATGTTCTCTAAGCCATCCCACCCCCTGCTCCCAAACCAGCTCATATTTTGAGCAGGAAAACTCTGTAATACCCTAATGACTATTTGAACTGAAAACGAAAGGACTAATTTAGGAATTCGGAGCAATAAATACGCAACTAATGCACTAGCAGGATCCCTCCCTACCCGGCAGGGACAGAGAGGGCCGTGACCAAGCCCCCGCCTCTGCCCTGCGGACCCCGAACCCCATTCCATGGCCGCTCCCCTGCCAGGAGCAGCCCTGCCTGGGACCCCTCCCCGGGAACAGCAAAGCCCTCCTGCCCAAGGGGCGTCCTTACCGGAGGGGCGCTGAAGATGTAGAAGGACGAGCCCTTCAGGGCCAGGAACCTGGGTCTGAGGGTCGGGGAGGGGTCGGCCCCATGGAGTCTCTCGCTGGCCCAGCCCATGTGCACGACCTGCAGAGGGAGACCGTGGACGTCAGAAAGCAGGCCTGCCAGGAGCTCTGCTACGGGGGCAGAAAGTCAGACACGTAGATGGGGCTACATCCACTATTCCAGCACACTCAGATCCGGAGACCGGGAAGCTTGGAGACATCTAGACCAATTCCCCAGGTTTCCAGGTCAGGTAGACACAGGGATATATAACATCCTGGGTTAAAACCCAGCTTCCACACTGGGCCGGTTCTGCACACCAGCTTCTGAGCACTTCCAGGCTGGGCCATGACCGCGCTTCTCAGCCACGGCGGAGTGGTTGGCACCAAATTAATTTTTAAAAGCACAGACTGAATTACATTCTATTAGGGGCTAGCATTGCTGACTTTTCTATGAGGTTGGAAAAAAATAGCCAACTATAATTTCCATTTCTATGCCAAACATATGAGTTGCCATATATGGAAAAATGCTTGTTTTTCTTTATAGTTCAACTTCCTAGCAACAATGAAAATAATACAAAAATATTAGACTCTTACAACTAGTATTGAATATTTTAATCTCATGAGAGAAAACGAAAGCTTTAAAAATCACAGTATGATTAAAAAACATAATGGCAGTACTAATACAATTTAAGAATTCAGTGCATGAATTTGAAATAATATTAAGGGAAAATCCCCATCTCACCTAAAATTCTAATGAAACGCATTTGTGGTAAGTGGTAGGAGTCATTTAATCATAATTTTCTCATTTCCCCATTTTGCCATTTCAAGGAAAGCCAATTAATTAACATATTCTTATGCAGTAAACATTTAAAACAACTTCAAATTAAAAGAAAATTAAAAATAAGGGATCATAGACTCATAGACCTCCCGTCCCTCATTCGAATGACACAGACCAAGGAGAAAGCTATTCAGGGCGCGGCCAGCCACGCCCAGACAGCAGGTGCGTGCACCTCCTCGGTGCCCCAGCGGGGGGCGATTCAAGCGCCTCCCACCACAGCTGGTGCCAGAGGGAGTGGGAGTTTCCTGCTTCAGTTTTTTACTTGATAAACCCCGACAGTCCCCACGCTCATGCTTGATCACAGACTTCCTAGGAGGTGAAGACGCCAAAGTGGTAGTGGTGGGGATCAGACTTCTACAGCATTTCCAGAGACGGGAAAGAGAAAATCAGGGGGGCCGGGCGTGGTGGCTCACACCTGTCATTCCTAGCACTCTGGGAGGCCGAGATGTGAGGATTGCTTGAGCTCAGGAGTTCAAAACCAGGCTGAGCAAGAGCGAGACCCCATCTCTACTAGAAATAGAAAGAAATTAATTGGCCAACTAAAAACGTATAGAAAAAATTAGCTGGGCATGGTGGCGCATGCCTGTAGTCCCAGCTACTCGGGAGGCTGAGGCAGGAGGATTGCTTGAGCCCAGGAGCTTGAGGTTGCTGTGAGCTAGGCTGATGCCACAGCACGGCACTGTGGCTTGGGCAACAGAGTGAGACTCTGTCTCAAGAAAAAAAAAAGAAAAGAAAATCAGGGAGTTCTCTCTGGGGAGAGCGGTTGCTGTGGCCAGATAGTCACTGTTATCAGGGTTTGAGCGTTGGCTGCAAACCCTCTGACACACTCAAAGTTTTAATTTTGCCTTACCAGGCTGTTCTAGGCACACTAAACTTTTTACAGAAACCCAAATATTTCACCGACTCATGAACTTGTCTGTTCTTAATGGGTTTACCTGTGCCCCATGAAGACTTACGAAGCACGTGAATGAGATACGGTGTTAACATTGCAATAACACAGGACAGTTTTGTTGCATTCGTGGCACTGGGCACATTTAGCACTGCTGAGCCTTTTTTCGTCATAAAATGGGACTAGAATTTCCTGTCTCACATGGCCAGTGTGAGAATTTCATACTGTACCCCAAGCACTAGCCAGCAGAGGCCAACAACACAGGGTGCAGACGGCACCAGCACCCTGGAAAGCCACATAATTTTCTCCTTGAATGTCCTCTGGTTTCGAAACCAAATAACAATATTATCTAAAAACATCTAATTGGTCGACGTTTTCCCTTTATGTCTGGTGGGCTTATATAGATACTTGTGTTGGTTATAATGCTATCATCACTACTGCTGTAAATCATAAAACAGCTCAGGTTCCATTTTTAGAAAACAGCACATTTTATAGCTAATTTAGCAGATGCTTGATGTTTCTAAAATTAACTTGAATTCCATGCCTGATTACTTAATTCCTAACTCCCTACTGTGCGAGTATAACGATTTGCATCGTTTAAGATGAGATTAATTTCAAGTACAGTTGCCAAAAAAACCCCAAAACAACAACAATGAGCTGCAAACATAGGGACTGTTACGCAATGAGGAAGAAAATATGGTGCCAGCAGCCGTTTGCTCAGGAAGAAGCTCGCTCGGCTCCACCCCATGAAGACGGGGCACGAGGCATTAGTGGGTTTGCTAGTTACCTCACCTTTGCCCAGGAGCGCCTTGGCGAGGCTCGTTGAGAGCACTGAGTATCTGGGGAGGTTTCGCAGCCCAGCCATGGTCAGGAGGTCTGTACCCTTAGGAGCAGTTAGAGTTAGGCAACTGTAGCAGGTGCAGGTACGTTCACTGTACTTATCGGGGCGGCTCAGCGAAGACCTTTCCTTTGTTGGTTGCCATCAAAGGTGTGGAGGCAGAACCTGTGTGCTTGCTGCGGAATGGGATGTGCGGGAACCTGATCTAAGACCGGGCTGTGACTGCCGCAGATACACGGGTGGCCGTGGGTAGATCCCCAGACTAGCACAGCAGCAGCGAGTGCTCCTTCAGCGAGGAGAACCTGGCCAGGGACCTGACTCCAGCTCAGCGTGAGTTACCCTGTCTCTCGGGAGCTGCAGGCACGGCCGGGGACCCCGGAGCGCTGGCCGCCTGTGCAGGACGCCCCACTCTTGCCTCCAGTTTGGTGTCTCTGTCCCGCCGGGCTGCTTGTTCCTCCTTTCCACGTCTGGTGAACACAGGCCTGCACAGATTCCAACGAGAACTATATGGGGAAGGGCGAGTAAGGAGCTGCTCTGCTGGCCGAGATGGCAGCCATACAGGTTGTTAATAATCTGAGCTGTCTATTAGCTGGAGGTGAACTTAATTAAATCTCATAGGTAATTGAATTCTACCTAGATCAGTTAGCAAAGAAATAAGTTATACCTTAGCTATTATTGGAAATACTGGCTGCTTTAAGCATCCTTCTCAGGCATACGAAGTTCATAAATAATTTTAAAGGAAGCTAATTTTATCTTGTAGGTTATGAATTTTCCAACGGCTCACTACGTGTTCCAAGAAGTGCAAATGACACTTTCAGGAATACCGGCCTGATTGTATCACCTCAATTAAATCAAGAGGACACAATCATTACGATAAAGGGAGACACTTTCATTCATTTCTTTCTGATGCCATTTCTATAAGAAAGCTGCTTTCTTTGCTCCTAAATCAGTCTGGACAATTAGTTAAGCGTCCCTCGGGTGAAGACGATTCAGCTGGTCTTTCCCCTCACACAGAAAGAGCAAGAACTACCTGTGTTATTAAGATTTTCTCTTTTGATTTGGTGATGAAGGCATCACTATCTCCCTGAATTAAAATTCAAATTGTTGAGAAGAAATTTTTGAAAGCACACGGAGATGCTTGCTGTCTCAGTGGGATGGACACGTGTGCTGGCTTGCCGGGACAGTTCTAAATTCACACCCGCTGTGTTGCTGTGGCTCTGAGGTCAGTCCTTGTCCCAGACAGCTGTGCTCTGTTTACGGCTGCTCCCTTTACCTGGTAGGAGAGTCTGAGAGTCTGTACCTTATGCCTTTTGTATTTTTACTCTAGTTCCATTTTCTTCTGTTTTTGTTGGCCAATTTCAGTGGTTGTCAAACAACTTTTTTCACATTCATTCAAATATTATTTCTTCATTACATACCAAAATCAAGAATTGTTAAGAGTGAGAGGAAAAAAAATATGTTTTTAAAGGGCCCAGCGTCATATGTCTAAACTCCTAAAATACTCGCAAGATGTGCAGTTTGGGGATAAAATATTGAAATAATCCTCCACCAGAAACACACGGGCTGTGGCAGGGTTAGTTCTCTAATCATCCTACATACTGAAGCTCAACTCTTAATATTTATTTCCAAAAAAAAAAAAAAAAAAGACTTCAAGCCCCTGAGTAAAGAGTTAGCGCTGTAAAAAAAAATTTCAAGCTGACAAGGACCTTAGCTTGCCCAGTACGAGTTTCGTGCTCTACGGACGAAGAGATTGAGGCTCAGGCGTGAAGTCTTTCAAGCGATGCAAGTGATGGCACCAGATGAGGGCTGTGCTGTGACTGGAACTCAGGCTCTTTGTCGGGTAGTTTCCAACACTGACGTCCCGTGAAGGAGGTTTCCTCTGGGCTGGAGTTTCACGCAGAGAAGGCCAGGGCACGGCTCGCCCACTGCCTGGGGACCCTGGAGGAGGCCGGTCCAGGTCCTCTGCGTGGGGGCCGAACCTCTTGGGGACCCCCCTGTCCCCAGAGACCCCATCTCATCTCTCTCTCTCTCTCTCTCTCTCTCTCTCTTGGATCGAGCGACACAGCAGAGCACGTTCCGAAGTAGAACAACGCGTCTTGTGTCCAGAGCCCTTTCCGACCCGGGAAGTGACTCCGGCACCCCTGCCACGGCCCTCGAGTTCCCTGAAATACAGAAGCTCGAGGCCCAGGAGCGCATCCCCGGGTAAGGGGCGCCGTCTGCTTGGAGGGTGGCAGCCGCCCCTCGGTGGGCAGGAGAGGGCCACCGTGCCCGCCATGAGCACACTGAGTAAGAGGCTGGAACTGAGAGACGCCAGTGACAGCTCCAGGTGCCTTCCTAAGCTCTCGGAAGAGCCTGATTCACCGTGAGAACAATCTCACGGGACATTCTGCTAACTTTCATTGTGCTAATAAAAATCCCGTTTCAAAATGGTAAATTATTCATGGGGACAGCAGCCACCCATTGGTCATCTATGCCACCAGCCTCGATAAATTAAACTGAAAGAAAACAGTATGTTTATTTGTGCACATAGTGCACAGGTTCAAAAATAGCAGGAAAATAATATTTTATGTATAAATATATAATGAAATTATATTTTATGCATAAAATATAAACTGTATCCCAATATTAATTTAAAGACATTTATGGAAACATTACTCATAAAAAGCTCATTTAGCTAAGTAAAAAAAATAGTTGATGATAAATTTGGAAAAGTATTAAAAGACATAAAAGTTAGATTTAGAGGAACTATTCTTAATGTCTCTATTTTAATTTTAAAATGTTGACTAGAGGAGTTTAATTTCCTGTCTTTTTCAGTAACATTTGATTGGCAGGGACCTACTCTTCTGTCTTGAATTCAAACACTGCTAGGCACCATTGAAAGAGTATTTATAAGCGCTATTTAAAGCAAACTGAACACATTTATCTCAGTTTTCCTAACTCGAGGCTACAATGCATGCTTCCTTAAACCTATAAAATATACAACCAGAACACTAATTAACTATAAATACAAAGTCTGCACTTACGTTGCAACTCGAACTTTATTAAGAAGTAAATAGAAGAATAACATAATGACCTAAGCATTCACCTGCCTGACACTCAAACAGTCTGATTATAATGAGTTTTTCCTAAGTACTTAAGGGCCCAGGAAGTGACAGTCCTGGGGCCGGAGGACCGGCCGTGCGGCTGGCTGACGGTGACCGAGGAGGACGCTTCCTCCCGAAGCCAGGACAAGGCAGAGCCCTGGGCTGCAGGGGGACAACCTGCCCGGGTTTGGGGTGACAGGGTCCCGCCAGGGGCAGTGACATCTGTCGGGTCAAAGGCCTCCTGGGAATGAAGCTTCCGAATGGGAGGTTTTATCTAAGAAGACAGCACAGTGCTCGAGATTTCACACCCTACAGGTGTGTCTTCACCGTGCAACCCGCTCAGCTGGGACCACCTCACCCACACATCATGCCACCCCCACCTGGCCCACACGGGGCAGGTGACCCCACACACACTACACACCCCGGCGGGGCAGCGGCCGCCAGCGCAGTCTGAAATGTGCGCTCACGCTGGCCTGTCCCAATTCCCAAATCAAATCTCAAACAAAGAGAGAGTCTACTTTGGTGACTTGTTGCATTATGAGGCTGAAAAACACAAGTCCTACCTGGTCGCCAGGAGAACAGCACCTGTTTTCCGTCTTCACCTGTGGAGAGAGGGCAGCCGGACAAGAACGTTAGTGCCGTGATTTTTCTTCCTGTCTAGTTGACAGTCGAAATTAATTAGCCACACGGACCGTCCTTGGAAACAGGTTTCTCTTATGATGCGTTTCTTATCTGAACACCAAACTGGAGTCAAAACGAACGTAGGCTGCGCAAGCAACTCCCGTGATAGAGAAAAGTGTATTCGGGCACTTCAGCTACCCTTCGAATGTCAGCATCTTATGTAAGGGAAGCTAAGGGGCGACAGGGGCTTAAATTCCACCATCTGGCAAAAGTGGGGAGGAGGATTCTGCCCCACGTGACCCTGGAACAGCGGGCAGCCACCACAGCGGTGACCTCAGTCATCGCAGCTTACACTCCGCCCGCCCCGGCTCTCCAACAGGCCCCCAGGCAGAGGCGATTCTCCACAATGTCACCGTGAGCAAGAGGAGGGCTGGAATGACAACTGCCCACAGCTGCACAGCCCGGAGGTGGCTCCACACCCTCCTCTCTGCTCCGACCTGCTCCGGGTCCCCTCCTCTCTGCTCCAGGTCCCCTCCTCTCTGCTCCAGGTCCCCTCCTCTCTGTTCCGACCTGCTCTGGGTCCCCTCCTCTCTGCTCTGACCTGCTCTGGGTCCCCTCCTCTCTGCTCCGGGTCCCCTCCTCTCTGTTCCGACCTGCTCTGGGTCCCCTCCTCTCTGCTCCAGGTCCCCTCCTCTCTGCTCCGCTACGAGGGGCAGCGTGTGGCTCACACAGACCCGAGGGACCCTGCTCCTCACAAGCATCTGTCCAGACCTCAGTCTGGCACCGTCCGTGCGGCTGCTTGGCTGGTTAGTTTAATCTTCTATCCACTCAGATAACTTTGGAAATAAAAACGTCCCATTTGAAAAATAAGATCTCAGGAAGGTTCCATACATCTGTACACAGTTACAAAAGGGAAACTTCCATGGTCTTTAGAAATCTCACATGTGGCTGCTTCCCCCAGTATTTGAGTCTGCACCATCAACTTCTGTTAAGCAGTTGCCTGGAGGAGGGAGGTTGTGGGGAGACAGTGGGGCGAGGTGGAGAGCAGGTGCCTTTGCGGGGTGGCCGCGTGGGCGGGTCCAGGCTGGCCCCAGACCCTGGCCCCCTACCCCCAGCCCCCGGGGCCGAGCTGGGATCAGGAGCACATGCAGGGCTGGTCAACTGGGAGGGGCAGAACCAGAGAACTGGTCAGAGGCCACCTCTGGGAGGGGTCTGTCCTGCCAAGAGCCCCCAGGGCTGCGGCTCTTCAACTCGGGGTCAGCAGGCACCGGACTCGAGAGTTCCCTGCGTCCTTGTGCACAGAGAACCGTGCGTAAGGAACCTCCAGCTAGGTGGAGATTTCGTTTTCACCCACCTCTTTGTATTTCTTTTATTTTTAAAATCACCTGTTGACTCTGAAATTCAAACACATCACTCAAGAAGACAGAAGATCTTTTTTCTTTTCCAGATGACTGCAGTAAAAATTTGAGAAAGTGATGTGTTTTGGCTAATTATGTCTTTTATATATTTTTTTCATAATGTTTTAGAGGATTATATTTTTTAATCCAACTAGGTTTCCCAAAATAAAAATCTTGCATTCTGTCAATGCATGTGTGTAACATATATGTAAAGTTACGTGCACATGAACATTTCTGTGTATGCGTGAGAAAGAGTGAGAGAGACAGAGGGAGGCCTGGCTGGGAAGGGCCTGAGCTCTTGTCGCTGGAAACACCTAGCTGACTTGATTTTTAGTTTTTTTATTCAGAGATTTGATATGCTAAAGTAAGAGCAGCTTTTCTGTTCCCTGCTGTAACCCACTGCTCTAGGGCTAGCCCACTCTCTAGGGCTAACCCACTCTCTAGGGCTAACCCACTCTCTAGGGCTAACCCATTCTCTAGGGCTAACCCACTCTCTAGGGCTAGCCCACTCTCTAGGGCTAACCCACTGTCTAGGGCTAACCCACTGTCTAGGGCTAACCCAATCTCTAGGGCTAACCCACTGCTCTAGGGCTAGCCCACTCTCTAGGGCTAACCCACTCTCTAGGGCTAACCCACTGCTCTAGGGCTAACCCACTCTCTAGGGCTAGCCCACTCTCTAGTGCTAACCCACTCTCTAGGGCTAACCCACTCTCTAGGGCTAGCTCACTCTCTAGGGCTAACCCACTCTCTAGGGCTAACCCGCTCCCTGGGCTAACCCGCTCTCCTGGGCTAACCCGCTCTCCAGGGCTAAGCCGCTCTCCTGGGCTAAGCCGCTCTCTAGGGCTAACCCGCTCTCTAGGGCTAACCCGCTCTCTAGGGCTAACCCGCTCTCTAGGGCTAACCCCCTCTCTAGGGTTAACCCGCTCTCTAGGGCTAACCCGCTCTCTAGGGCTAACCCGCTCTCTAGGGCTAACCCGCTCTCTAGGGCTAACCCGCTCTCTAGGGCTAACCCACTCTCTAGGGCTAACCCACTCTCTAGGGCTAACCCAGTCTCTAGGGCTAACCCACTGTCTAGGGCTAACCCACTCTCTAGGGCTAGCCCCCTCTCTAGGGCTAACCCACTGTCTAGGGCTAACCCGCTCTCTAGGGCTAACCCGCTGTCTAGGGCTAACCCACTCTCTAGGGCTAACCCACTCTCTACGGCACGCCCACTCCCTAGGGCTTAGCCCACTCTCTATGGCTCCACTCTTCTAGGCAACCCCCACTCTCTAAGGCTAACACCCACTCTCTAGGGCTAACCCACTTCTAAGGCTAGCCCACTCTCTAGGGCTACCACTCTCTAGGGCATAACCCCTCTCTAGGGCTAACACCCACTCTCAGGCTACCCAGTCTCTAGCTAACCCGCTCTCGTAGGGCTAACCCACTCTCTACAACGGCTAACCACTCTCTAGGGCTAACCACTCCTTTAGGTAACCAGTCTCTAGGTAACCCGCTCTCTATGGCTACCCACTCGCTAGGGTAACCCACTCTCTAGTAACCCACCTCCTAGGGCTAACCACTCTCTAGGGCTCCCCTCTCAGGCTAACCACGCCTGGGCAACCGCTCGTCTACGGGCTGAACCCGCTGTCTAGGGCTAACCCTCCTAGGCTAACCGCTCTTAGGCTAACCCGCCTCTAGGGCTTGAACCCAGCTCTCCAGGGCTAACCCACTCTCTAGGCCTGAGCCCACCTCTATAGGGCCTAGCCACTCTCTAGGCAACCACTCTCTTAGGGCTAACCCACTCTCGAGGGCAACCCACTTCTCTAGGGCTAAGCCACTTCTCCTAGTCTAACCACTCTCTAGGGCTAACCCCTCTCTCAGGCTACTCACTCTCTAGGCTACCACTCTCTAGGGCTAACCGCCCCTGGCTAACCCGCTTCTCCCTGGGCTAACCCGCTCCCCAGGTAAGCCGCCTCCTGGCTAAGCCGCTCCTAGGCTAACCCGCCTCTGGGCTAACCCGCCGTCTCTAGGTAACCGCCCTCTCAGGCTAACCCCCCCTTCTCTAGGTAACCTCTCTATGGGCTAACCCGCTTCTAGGGCTTACCATCGCTCTCTAGGCCTACCCGCTCTTACGGTACCCCTTCTAGGGCTAACCCACTCTCTACGGGCTAACACTCTCTAGAACCCAGTCTCTAGGCTAACCCTGCTATGGCTAACCCACTTCTAGGGCTACCCCTCTCCTAGGCTAACCACTGTCTAGGGCTAAACCCGCTCTCTAGGGCTACCGCTTGTTCTAGGGCGAACCGCTCTCTAGGGCTAACCCGCTCTCTAGGCTAACCCGCTCTCTAGGCTAACCCACTCTCTCAGGCTAACCCACTCTCTAGGGCTAGCCCACTCTCTAGGGCTGCACCTCTAGGACCACTCTCTAAGGGGTAACCCAACTCTCTAGGCTAACCCACTCTCTAGGTAACCACTCTCTAGGGCTACAGCCCACTCTCTAGGGCTAAACCCACCTCCAGGCTAACCCACCTCTAGGCTAACCCACTCTCTAGGCTAAACCAGTCTTAAGGCTAACCCGCTCTCTAGGCTAACCCACCTATCTAGGGCTACCACTCTCTAGGCAACCCACTCTTTAGGCTAACCAGTCTCCTAGGCTAACCCGCGTCTCTAGGGCATAACCCACTGATCGCTAGGGTAACCACTCTCTAGGGCTAACCACTCTCTAGGGCTAACCCACTCTCTAGGGCTAGCCCCCTCTCTAGGCTGAACCACTGTCTGAGGGCTACCACCCGCTCTCAGGGCCTAACCCGCTGTCTATGGCTAACCCGCTCTCTAGGCTAACCCGCTCTCTAGGGCTAACCCGCGTCTCCTGGCTAACCCACTCTCTAGGGCTCAACCACTCCTAGGCTAGCCATCCTCCTAGGGCTAGCCCTACTTCTCTAGGGCTAACCCACTCTCTAGGTAACACTCCTTAGTAACCAAGCTTCTAGGGCTAACCACTCTCTAGGGCCTAACCCACTCTCAGGGCTAACCCACTCTCCTAGGGCCAACCAGCTTCTACGGCTAGCCCACTCTCTAGGGCTAACCCCCAACCCTTTTTCTCTTCAGGCACCACTCCTCTAGGGTAACCCACTCTCTAAAGGGCAACCAGTCTCTAGGCTAACCCCGGACCAGCCAACCACTTCTCAGGCTAACCCACTCTCTACCCGGGCTAACCCACTCTCTAGGGGTAACCCATCTCCTGGGCAAACCCACTCTCCTCGGGCGCTAACCCACCTCTAGGGCTAACCACTCCCTGAGCTAACCCACTCTAGGGCTACCACTCTCTAGGCCTACCACTCTCTTGACAACCACTCTCTAGGCATACCACTCTTAGGCTAACCCACTCTCCAGGCTACCACTCGTCTAGCTACCACTCCTAGGCTAACCCACTCTTTGAGCTAACCCACTCTCTACGCTATACCCACTATCTAGGGCTAACACCTCAGGGCTAACCCACTCCCTAGGGCTACACCGCTCTAGGCTAGACCACTCTCTGAAGCTAACCCACCTCTAGGGCTAACCCCACTCTCTTTGACCATACCACTTTTCTTCGTTAGCTAAACCACTCTCTATGGGCTAACCCCACTCTCCTCGGGCAACCACTCTAGAGGGCTAACCCACTCTCATGGCTGAACCCGCTCATCTAGGAGCTAACCGTCGTTTAGGCCTAACCACTCTCTAGGGCTAGCTCACCTCCATCTCTAGGGCTAACCACTCTCGTAAGGCCTAACCCACATCTCTTAGGGCTAACCCGCATCTTCAGGGCTAACCCCCTCTTTAGGCTAACCCACTCGCTAGGGCTAACCG